TGCATCATATTGAGTTTTAGTAATATATATTATTGAAGTCAGAAGTATTAGCCCACTTGTGTATTTTTTCACAATTTCTATTTAACGGAAATTTTTTTAACATAATAGTTTTAATAACTAATTTCTAAGTAATATTTTCTCTTTGCCATGATGACAGTAAACAATATTTGACTAGATATTCACTTCTATACAGCTTAAAGTGACATTTAAAGGGTTAACTAGGTTAATTAGGTTAACTAGGCAGGTTAGGGTAATTAGGCAAGTTATTGTATAATGATGGTTTGTTCTGCAGACTATCAAAAAAAAAAAAAAAAAAAAAAAAAAAAAAAAAAAATATATATATATATATATATATATATATATATATATATATATATATATATATATATATATATATATATATATATATATATATATACAGTTGAAGTCAGAATTATTAGCCCCCCTGAATTGTTAGACCGCTTGTTAATTTTTTTTCCCAACTTCTGTTTGACGGTGAGCAGATTTTTTCAACACATTTCTAAACATATTAGTTTTAATAACTCATTTCTGATAACTGATTTATTTTATCATTACCATGAAGACAGTAAATAATATTTGACTAGATGTTTTTCAAGACACTTCTATACAGCCTAAAGTGACATTTAAAGGCTTAACTAGGTTAATTAGGTTAACTAGGCAGGTTAGGGTAATTAGGCAAGTTATTGTATACGGATAGTTTGTTCTGTAGACTATCGAGAAAAAATATAGCTTAAAGGGGCTAATAATTTTGTTCCTAAAATGGTGTTTAAAAATTAAATCATGCTTTTATTCTTGCAGAAATAAAACAAATAAGACTTTGTCCAGAAGAAAAAACATTATCAGACATACTGTAAAATTGCCTTGCTCTGTTAAACATAATTTGGAAAATGTTTAAAAAAGAAGAAAAAAATTCAAAGGGGGCTAATAATTCTGACTTCAACTGTATGTATATATATATATATATATATATATATATATATATATATATATATATATATATATATATATATATATATATATATATATAAAAACTTAAAAGGGCTAATAATATTGACCTTAAATTAAAAACTGATTTCATTTTAGCCGAAATAAAACAAATAAGACTTTCCCCAGAAGAAAAAAATATATTTTAGGAAATACTGTGAACATTCCCATCTCTCTTAAACATCCGTTGAGAAATATTTGAAAAAGAAAAAGAAAATTCACAAGAGGGCGAATCATTCTGACTTCAACTGTATATATGTATATATATTTACTGTATAACTGTATATATATATATACTGTATGTATATATATATATATATATATACGCACACACGCACACATACACACATACACATTCATTCTATTATAGAACTATAGTGTGAAATCTATAGATAAATATGTACACAGAGTTTACCTTTTGTTTAAAACATTTGAGTCACAGCATAAAGATTTTCTGTATTACATAAAATTTTATTGTACATAATGCTGTTCTTATGAAGCACAATTGGTTTCGATGCTTAAAAGAAATGCTACAAAAAAAAGTATTAGACTAATTTCATATTTAACACCCAAATATTTAATATATTACTATACAAGCCTTGTATTGAGTTTGAATATTTATTTGGATTTTTTTTGTCAGATTTTTTTTTTTATAATGCAAGAAATGTGGCTTTTAAATCTTTTAAACTATATTGTGTGGATGAATTGTGTGGATCAGTTGTAAAAAAATAAATTGTCAAATTCTTTAAAATTCAAACCACAATGGTTCACTTACATTTGTGTGGGAAAACCAGCGATGGCCAATTATTTGCAAAATAACTATGTTGTAATTAAATTAGTTATATGCTGAGAAAAAAAAAAAAAAACATTGGGCTTACATTTACATTTAGTCATTTAGCAGACGCGGGGTTAGGGTTCATTTTAGGGAGTTCATTCCACCAACTGGGCAGATTGAATGAGAGAGTTCGGGAAAGTAATTTCTTCCCTTTTTGGGATGGAACCACGAGGCGACGTTCATTCACAAAATGCAAGTTTCTGGAGGGCACATAAATCTGCAGAAGTGAGAGCAGATAAGAAGGAGCAAAGCCAGAAGTCGCTTTGTAAGCAAACATCAGAGCTTTGAATTTGATGTGAGCAGCAACTGGCAGCCAGGGCAAACGAATGAGCAGCGGAGTGACATGTGCTCTTTTAGGTTCATTTTGGGTAATTATATTGCAAGTCATACAATTGCAGTAATTTATGAAGCAATTAAATTATTTTTTAAATGTTCTTCATAAATTATTTTTCAACCAAGTACAAGACAATAGCCCCTTTCACACAGTGATACCGGTAAATATCTGGAAAATTTCCGGAACGACTTTACCGTTATATTCAAAAAAGCGCTGTTCACACAGGCGAGGACGTTACGGAAATTTTCCGGAAAAGAGCATTCACACATCCATTCCAAAATACCGGTAAATTCTGACATCATTCACCACAAATGAGCTTTAAACGGCTGCGCTTGTGTTTGTAAACATTTGACTAAATTACAAACTCTGTGGATGATCAATATTGTAAACAACTTTCGCAGGATCACTTTCGCATGTCGAAATGTTCATAATATGTGCGTGTTCAGGCGCTCACAGGCTGTTCATGGGCACACGCAAAGCTTGAAGGTAAACAAACAACGGCTTATCATAAGCATGTCATCGATGATTATTTACACAGTTGGCATTAAGAAGAACATATAAACGTGATCTGACTAACTTCTACCAGCTAAATGTGTCTGTAAAAATATTCAAAGGCTTTTATTCTCACAAACCGCGCGGACGTGAATGCGTCTGACTGTTGTGATTGGCTAAAGCGGACGTTTCACGTCAGCACGTTCTAGACGTGCACGCGCTTATTACGGGAATCTTCTTTCTGCATTCACACAGCGCAGCATTCCGGCAAATTGCCGGTAATCTTACAACTTCTCTTTCCGGAAAATAGCCAGAACGAATTTACCGGTATTTTCAAAAAGGACCTGTTCACACATACAACCTTTCCGGAAAATTGCCGGCAATTTTCCGGAAAGGTCCGTATGTGTGAAAGGGGCTAATGTAATTAGTAAAGCGATTTACTTACAATTTTAATTATGTACTTAGTAATTAATTACTTTTATTTATTTTCAAGTAACTTACCCAACTCTGGCCAAGAATTTGTTTAGAAATTATGAAATGGTCCAAAAATCTGAACTGCATTTCACAATGTACCGTATCATTTAGTAAACATGAAAACTGAAAATATTTTAATATAGCAACAATTCCCAGAATGTTTCAGCTTAGTTTGTTTACATTTATTGACTATGAACTCTTTTTCTGAGAAAACATTATGGTAGCAAACGTTTATTTTGTAGAATGTGATCTATCTGGGTAACACCGACAGTAAAAGATCAGTCATTTGTGACCCTGGACCACAAAACCATTCAAAATTGTACTTTTTTTTTTTTTAAATTGAGATTTATAATCACCTAAACAAGCTTTCCATTGATGTAATATACTTATTTATACATCAAAATCTGGAATCTGAGGGTCCAGAATAAATCTAAATATTAAGAAAATATAAAAATTGATATTATTGATCATAAACTGAGTTTTGATATATTTATTTGAGGAAGTCTACAAAATATCATCATTGAACATCATCTTTACTGAACAGAACTTTCTAGTGATTTTTGACATTAAATCAAATTCCACCGTTTTGACCCAATCAATGTATTATTAATGTAGAAACATACCCGCACAACTTAAGCATGGTTTTGCAGTCCAGAGTCACATTTAATCAATGTTCAATGCTTGTTAATAACAAAATAAAAGCAAATCTCCTCTCTCACCTCTGAGATATTTGACTTTGAGATATTCAGAGCTGGCTTTCTGTCCTAAGAGAGGGTCGTTGAGCATGACTTTAGTCTGGGCTTTAATGCCCTCGTAGAACTGACCCATAGCCACATGACTGAGACCCTTCATGTACTGACACACTTCATTATATGGCTCCAGCTGCAGACATCTCTGAAACGGGAGAAAAAAAAAAACAGACTGAAACAACAAGAGCAAGACTCACGACTAAAGATGACATCATCTCAAAAGTGTCATCAAATAACGAAGAAAACACCTTAAAGGTTTACTTCACTTTAGGAAAAAAGGAATTTATTTTTATTACTTTTCTGTCTTTATTTTTTATTAGAAATACGTTTAGACTAACAACAGATTAATCAATCTTTTCTATTGTATTAGAACACATCTTGACCAGACACACTTCCTTTTTTATTGTGCTGCATACGTTTTAGAAGAACAGCTAACTAGCGGAAAATTCAGTATAAGAATAAATTTAGATTTGTTCCAGACTGCTGTCTGGACATGTCACAAGGAGCATGATCTTTGTAGAAGTTGTGAAATATATCAAAGATGCACGTAATTGTTCAGTTCTGGTCTGCAAAGAAGGGTTGCAGAAAGAGGAAGTATGTCTAGGGGTTACAAATAGCCAAGGGACTGCAGAATGACTGATCAGTGACGTTAAACCAAAACTCCACCTGTTATTATCAGTTGTGTATATATGCTGGAGTCAGGAAATGTAAGTTAGTTGCGAAAATCTTAAATGTAATTCTTGTATTGCATTGGGGTAACGTAATCCAGAGCTCTGTCATCGAATTATTCATTTGTATCTAATAAATTACTAATATTTTTGGCATTGAAGAAAACCCTCTCCAGACCTTTTCTCATTCAGGATTGGTAGAGCTACTCATCGATGAATTTGCTCTCCAGTGTTTGAACTCTCAGTAATGATTTTAAATCACACTGAACTGAGCTAAACTGAACTGAGCTAAACTGAACTGAACTTAAACCCTAAAAACTGAACTACACTGTTCCAGTTACTATGACCATTTATGTGAAGCTGCCTTGACACTATCTACATTGTAAAAGCGCTATACAAATAAAGCTGAATTGAACTGAATCATTGAACATGCACGGAATTGGCTTGATATTCCAACATCACCCAAAATTTAAATTTGTTAGAAAACTTTTTTTGTCATCATCACTGCAAACTTATATGAGCAATAATATCATTAAACTTGAAGGGGGGCCTTATAATATTTTCCAGAGGAAAAGGGGGTCTCAGGCATTCCTTTAAGGACTAATGCTGCAAACATAGAGGCATATGGAAATACCCACACACATACACACACTTGACTGACCTTGAAGTTGCCGATGGCCTCCTGCAGACTGCCGTGGTGGTAGAGCATCATTCCTCTGAGCTGCAGGGACTGGATGTGGTTCTGATCCAGTAACAGAGCCTTCTGGAAGCTCTCCATGGCATTCTCAATATCTCCCAATTCCCTGAAAACACACACAAACACACGTGTATCATTGGTCCAGTTTACACCTGGTATTAGGAAGCAATTCTGCCAATCCAATTATAAAAGGATGATGCTAAATACAGGTATAATGGTGTCTTAAATGTTGGATTAACTCTCCATCTTCTACTTACAGAAGAGTACTTGCTTTCTTTGCTCAAAAATAGCATTGACCAATTATTTGATTTCTATGATGTCATAAGAATAGGGAACTTAAACCATCCAAAAGGGATAATTCACCCAAAAATGAGAATTTACCTACTATTTAGTATACAGTAGGTGGGCGTAGATAAATCTTTTTAATCTAGATTATTCTCACTGTAATCTTGGCATAAACCTGGAATAATCTACATTAAAATGGCTCATTTAAATTCTGCCGAAGGCGTTCAAAATATGTGTGCTACCCAAATAATGACTAAAAGTAAGTCTGTGAGAACGGGATTCTCAAGCCAGGTGTCGCATTAGACCAGGGGCTCATCTCCTGTTTCCAAAACGCATCACAAACTGCTTGATAAACTGTTCTACTATGATAATTGGTGATGAAAATAAATGATGTTGAATAAGATGTGCTTGTGTTAATGAACTGTTTGCTCAGTTAAACATGAATGTTGAACTGTAGGCCTACATAAGCTCCAAAACAGGCATTTTTGATCACCTTAATTCGACTAAAGTCATAACTGAACAGAAATGGAATTAAGATGTGGAGTATGCAGATATTAGTGGCATTATTGAAGTAAACACGGTGATCAAACTATTACCGTCAAGTAGGACTTTTCACCACACCCACACCCACACACGTTTGTTTTTGTGAAAAGTGGGGACATTACATAGGTTTCCATTCATTTTATACTGTCCAAACCGTACATTATATTGCCCTCACCCCACCCCATCCCTAAACCCAACCATCACAGGAGACTGTGTGCAGCTTTACTCTCTGATTAAACTCATTCTGTAGGATTTATAAGCATTTTGAGAAATGAAGACGTCACCAATGTCCTCATAATACGCCTCCTTTTTGTAATACCCATGACATACCTATGTCATTATACAGATTTGTGTCCTGATATGTCACAAAAACACATACAAGCGCGCGCACACGCACACACACACACACACACACACACACACACACACACACGCGCACACACACGCGCACACACACGCGCACACACACACGCGCACACACACGCGCACACACACGCGCGCACACACACGCGCACACACACGCGCACACACACGCGCACACACACGCGCACACACACGCGCACACACACGCGCACACACACGCGCACACACACGCGCACGCGCACGCACACGCACACACGCACACACACACGCACACGCACACACACGCGCACACACACACGCACACACACACGCACGCACGCACGCACACGCGCGCACACACACGCGCGCACACACACGCGCACACACAAACGCGCACACACACGCGCGCGCACACACACACACACACACACACACACACACACACACATCACAGAATGCTAAAGCTTTTTTTTCTTTCCATTCGGCGTGCGTTATTAAATTCCATTACACTCTCACCAGTCCTTACTCCTTATTTGCGTCTATTAGCCCAGTTTGTCTAGGGGGCATGAATGAACTGTTCATGAGAGAAAGTGAAACTGCCGAACTGCAGTTAAAGTCACCTAAAATTACAGGAAACTCTTCCATGAAAGCACTTAACATAAACACCTTAATTATATTATTGTCTATTAAGGCAAATAACTAGACTACAGATGTCCATGTAAGCGTAGTCAGTGGTGATTTCGAAGTAAGTGAAAGATCCAGAAGGGCATCCTGCTGATTTGACTTAGATGGGCACTTTTTTTGTCAGACGACTCACTGGTTTGACTTTCATTCACTGTCATTCATTTTAAAAAGCACTTGGTCCATTTTGTTTGTATATGTTTTACTCGAACGCATAAACTCTACAGGTGCCTGATAGTTAGATGTGGAGCTAACATAATCGGATTCCCTCTAGTGAACTGCATCCATGCTAGCACGTCATGTTTGATGTGGTAGTTTCACAGTAGGAATACACACAGGTTCTTGGACTTGTTCTCGCCCCCCTACAGTGCAATTTGGCCAGGTATACATCCGCGCTAAAATATCAAGGTGAAAGTCATCAGCTTGCATAGAATAGACCCAGCTCCCAACCCAACTTTAGAAATAGATTAACGGCGATATATATATTTGTAATAGCCTGATAGGATTCTCACGTTAACGCCTTTAACGGCCTACCACTACTATTTAGTTCATTATTTACATTATTTAATTATAAACTTTAAGTTTACCATATTTTATAAACACCACTTTTCTATAGTTATAAAAATATTCTTACAATTAAAATTCATCAACAGCAATAACTAATACACAAGGTAAAATACATAAATAATAATAAAGATAATAAGATAAAAATCTAAAACTGTTTTGAAGGTTTACTTTTGATAAAAATGTTACAATTTTAGCAGCAATCACATTAATAACTATTTCATTTAACGTTTCTCCAGAAAAAAATTGTCTTAAAACATTAAAACATAGGGCATTCCACAATAATATGTTTAACAGTTTGGTTTCTTTTGCAATATTGACATTTTGGTGGTTCTTCTCGTGTGTCCAATCAGCATCTTCTATGAACGGTTCTCGCCTCAAAGAAATCAGGAACGTGAATACAAGCGGACAAAAATAAACAGATTAAACCCCAGTTGAAATCCCTCACCTACTTAAAGTGATCGATCAAAACACAAGCCTGTTTCATGTGATCCGACAAAATCTAGATATCTGACAGAACTGACAGAGTCACCTTACCTGTAAGCCTGACCCAAGCTTTTATAAGCATCTATAAAGTCCGACTTCAGCTTGAGAGCCTCTTTAAACACCTCGATAGCCTCCTGCGTGGAGAAAATAATGTTAAACAAAGCATGTTTAATTAATGTGGTACTTTTAATAAGATTTAGACTGATTTATCTGGTAAATTATTAAATTATGTTTTCACATCATTAGATTAAAAGATCAGAAATACCAAATGATAGACGTCAGTATTATTTACATGCACACAACATCTCTCTTGCTCTCTCGCTGACTCAATGTAGACTAGATCTAACATAACTGAAAAATATACTATTAAATATTACGTTGCGAAAAACAAAACAAATTTTAACTTGTCTACAACTTGGCAAATGACCAAAGCACAAGGATAATCAATGGTTTGCCGTTCTTTAAAGAGTTTTAAATGCACTTGGCAGAGGATAACCAGGTTTGTCATTGGCAGATTTTGCTTTTAAAATTCTTACGCACGGCAACCTATTGATTATTGCTTACATATGTAATGTCAAAACTCTTCTGTGTGTTTAGACACTTACGTAGTCTAAACGTTATCTGAACTATATGAGGCCAGCAGTACAGTTTGTGGTAATATTTATATTTTATTCTTACCTTAAGAAGACCCCTGTGGAAGAAGGTCAGGCCTTTATATAGCATAGCGATGGGCTGGTTCTTCTTCAGCTCTAGAGACTGCTGGAAATCCTCCATGGCCGCCATATAATCCTGAAAGACAAAGACAGAAAAAAGGTATTTTTAAATAAACTTTTAAAACTAAATATAGATTAAAACTTTTAAAGTGAGGCCAGTCCTGTTTTTATTAGTTAAAAGAAATTACTTTTATTCTGTATTATTTGCTTTAACTCAGAAAATAATGCATTAAACTGTTGAAAATTAAATGACATGCTTCCAAAACATCCTATTATAAATAAAAACTCATCTTTTGAGATTTTGGCTGTAAACATTCTTGAAAATATATCAAGGCCTAAAAACAGGTATTTTTTGTTTAGGAGCGCAAAAATAAATAAATCAATAAATAAATCAATCAATCAATCAATCAATCCATCCATCCATCTATCCGTCTATCCATCCATCCATCCATCCATCCATCCATCTATCTATCTATCTATCTATCTATCTATCTATCTATCTATCTATCTATCTATCTATCTATCTATCTATCTATCTATCTATCTATCTATCTATCTATTTATCTATCTATCTATCTATCTATCTATCTATATCTATCTATATCTATCTATCTATCTATCTGTCTATCTGTCTATCCATCCATCTATCTTTCCATCCATCCATCCATCCATCCATCCATCCATCCATCCATCCATCTATCTATCTATCTATCTGTCTGTCCATCCATCCATCCATCCATCCATCCATCCATCCATCCATCCATCTATCTTTCCATCCATCCATCCATCCGTCCCTCTGTCTATCTATCCATCCATCCATCCATCCATCCATCCATCCATCCATCCATCCATCCATCCATCTATCTATCTATCTATCTATCTATCTATCTATCTATCTATCTATCTATCTATCTATCTATCTATCTATCTATCTATCTATCTATCCATCCATCTATCTTTCCATCCATCTATCTTTCCATCCATCCATCCATCCATCCATCCATCCATCCATCCATCCATCCATCTATCTATCTATCTATCTATCTATCTATCTATCTATCTATCTATCTATCTATCTATCTATCTATCTATCTATCTATCTATCTATCTATCTGTCTATCCATCCATCTATCTTTCCATCCATCCATCCATCCATCCATCCGTCTATCCATCTAACTATCCGTCCGTCCGTCCGTCCGTCCGTCCGTCTATCTATCCATCTATCCATCCATCCATCCATCCATCCTACCATCCATATATAGTCAGAAATATTCGCCACCCTGTTTAATTTGTTTACTAGTTGCAGATGCGATCATGAGGCTGTTTTTGCAAGTTTGAAGTAATAAAACACAGAACTGGGAAAAAAGTGCATTTTAATAACGAAATGCAAAAATTATAGTATAATACTGAGAGTTAATTTTAATCTCGTGAGAATCGGTTGAGAATTCCTGCTTTATCAGATGAAATTAACCGTTTGCAGTCCATCCAGTGGACACAATTGGAACAGCAGCTTCTTTTATTGAAAAACTGCAGCTTGTTTTCATACTTTATAGAATCCTCTCGCGGAATAAACCTGCGGCCAGAATATACCTGTTTGCGCGCTTCATCTGGCCCGCGGGCCGAACATTTGACACCCCTGGTTTAAATGAGCATTTCATACAAATGTTTTAGAGCTACTGTCAGACATGTGGGCCTTCAAAAATGTATTAGAGAAAGAAGTGGGCCCCGCAGTGAAAAAGTTTGAGAACCCCTGAACTAAGAGATTTTTCCACAGTTTGTTTTCATAGAACAATAAACTTATCTACAAACCATTATATGACTTTGATAATTAACTCCCCCATATCTCCTTTTATAGCCCATTGTATTTATCATAAAATAATCATAAACATCTTCTTCACACATGCTGAAGCTAAAAGTTTCGGGACTCTGAACCTGTGCTAAACAGATCCAGAGCTATCTATGAGACAGATGTTTAACACATTAGAAATCTTCCATACGTTACCATAACAGTTTAATCTATTGAGGCCAGAGCCAAAGTGCATCATGAGAGATAAGATGTGGTGTGTGTAGTGTGCGTGTACCTCTGATATGAAGAGCAGTGTTCCCCTGTGTCTGTACAGTCGGGCTGAAGGCTGAAGTTGAATGGCTTTAGTCAAGTCCAACAGAGCTTCGCTGATGCGGCCCAAAGGTGACAAAATCTAAAAACACATCATTCATAATCATTACACTTCCTAAACACACACACACAATTGGTTGACTTGGCGTTTGATGCTTACTTCGGCTCTCTGCTCATACACTTCAGGTCTGTTGGGCCCAGCGCGATCACTCGGCTTAATTCATATAAAGCCAGGTCTGCATTCTTTATGTCCTTTAAAGAGAGAAAATTACCTTTGTTTATATGAACAGCCATCATTATAAGTGTTGATATATTTAGTCTGATAAGGCAACATTAAAACAGTTAAACACCGCCTTTTCCATTAGACTGTTTTAGGACGTCCACTAAAATAAAATTTAGTGTAAAAAAAAAAAAAAAAATATATATATATATATATATATATATATATATATATATATATATATATATATATATATATATATATATATATATATATATATATATACATATATACATACATATACTATATTATATAATATATAATATATATATAGCAACAGGATAATTTTAATGCTGTCTCTCCAAAAATTAATTCATTCATTTTTTCGGCTGAGTCTCTTTATTAATTTGGGGTTGCCACAGCAGAATGAACCACCAAATTATAGAGCAAAGGTTTTACGCAGCGGATTCCTTTCCAGCTGCAACCCTGGGAAACATCCATGCACACTCATTCACACACATACACAACAGACAATTTAGCTTTCACAATTTACCTTTAGCGTATGTCTTCGGACTTTTGAGGGAAACCGGAGCAGAACAAGAGGAGAACATTCAAATTCCACACAGAAATGCCAACTGCCCCAAAGGCTCGAACCAGGAACCTTCTTGCTGTGAGGCAATCGTGCTACCCAATGCACCACTGTCACGCCCAAAACTTAATTCATAACTTACTGTTATAAATGAAAAAGCAAATTAAAGCGCATTGAGTCATCAGACTGAGGGCTGTGGCAGCCTCTAGTTTACTTCCGTCTGCTACGGAGTCTGTGGATCTGT